CAGCTGCCTCATCCAGGTACTCTCTTCTTTCATCATATTTGCACGAAATGCTGCTTGAGCTGTGTTAGGGCCGGGCTGTGGCATGAGGAGCAGTTTCTGACATGGGAATGGCTTCAGCAAGTGCTAAGCTGGTGCATTTCTTGGGGGATGCCAATAATACCTGGTGGTAGAGCAGACAAAGTCACCCACAGCCTTGAGAATAAATCTGGTAACAAGATGAATGCTTAATATGGAAATACTCCGCTGCACGTGTGAAGCTAAAATGAACTGTTTGGTGTGAGCTCTTTAGACTCACCAGGACTCAGCTCTGACTGCAGGGACACATGGGCAAAGAGACACGAAACTGCAAAGAGAAACTGCAGGAGACAGTGGGGCAGTAAATCAGGAGCTGCACACTTCTGCATTTCTGCTTTGTGTGGAGAAGTAAGAGAAAGCTGCAGAAGAGAGTTTTTTGCTCATGCCTGTCCTCAGCATAGTTTGAGAGTTTTGTGCTCCCACTCACACAAGGAGAGGAAGGTGCAGCCTCTGGCTGGAGCCCTCATTGTCCCTGTGCTGAGTGTGTAGGGTGTTCTTTGTTCTCACTAATGCCAACACCAATGAATTTCTTGCACATAATTGTGGATATGTCACTTACTATAACAGAACTTTGTTCTAACTTTTCTATTTGCTGTCAGACATCCTAATTTTTGCTGCTGATTGTAGTTGTATCCTGTTGCATAAAACCACCTGTCCTGCTCTTCACTGCTGGTGGTGCACCTGTCCCATGGGTGTGAGGTGTTGGTGAGCACTCACCAGACAGACTCAGTGTGGCAGCTACGTGGAGGGGCTGCTGCAGGGGTTAACTCACAGCAGTGTCAGCATAAAGAGCAACAATTGCTCAGGAGCAGTCTGCACTAAGCCCAGCTCTGGGCTGTTGGGTCTGCAGTGACAGTGCCTGAAACCACTGCTGAGGGCTCTGACTCCAGGCACTGGGTGGTGGCGTTGTGCCAGCCTGGGGTCTTCACTAAAGCACTTCAGTTTTGAGGTTTGTTTGATGGGAGACTTTTAGCAAAGCATAACAGAGTTTTGCTCTGCAGGACAAGGTCCTGCAGAGGACATAAAAAGCTTCTCAGAAGGGTCTAAGTTTGTGGGCACAAACCTGTCTGGTGCCATTCTCATCCTGACCCCCACAAGCCTCTTCCAGCCACTGCTGGGGCTGAGCTCAGCACAGTTCTCATAAAGAGTCCCGGCCTCAGTTTCTCTGTGCCTGTGTCCTGTCAACACACTCCTTAGGAAACTTTCTTCACTCATTAAGAGTCAGTTTGGTGGTTTGTTTTGCGTTTTCCTCCTTCCTTCACTTAAGCAGACTTGTTTCCAGCAGGACAGCCAAGTTTTCTTGGTTTTACTCTCCCTTTGCCCTCCACCGGCCCCACAGGCTGGAGGGCAGGAGCGAGCGGCTCTGCAGTCCTCACCTGCCACAAATCGTATTTGATTCTTTCTAAACTCTCCTGGGTTGGTGGGCAGGGTCAGGCCTGCACGGGGTCCCGCCCCTCTGGGATCCCGCGGCTGAGCCCGGGGCAGCGGCGCTCAGGCAGCGCTTGTGTCTCCGCAGGGATCGACAAGGAGAACGTGGAGCTCTCGCCCACCGCCGGCCACGCCAACAGCGGGAGGATGCGCCACGGCTCCGCCAGCCAAGTGCAGAAGCAGCGAAGCGCCGGCAGCTTCAAGCGTCACAGCATCAAAAAGATCGTGTGATTGTCGCTTTTTAATTTTATTTTTTATGTTTGGACCTGACTGACACGCGCGGCCCCTCGCGAAGGGCCCTCCACAGGGTGTGATGCTGCACTTGACCTGTACAGTTCTCATCCCGTCAGTCAGCCGCGTTGCCAGATGATCAACTCCTGACCCACTGCCTGAGTTAACACCTTCATTCCCGTGCTCGGTTCCAGCCGGTGTTCAGAACCACGCGTGTGCCCCGGGGGAGGTTGGAGTTCTGTAGCGCTGCAGAGCCGTGTCCTGTTCGAATCCAAAGCCATTCCCCAGCCCTGCCGTGTCTGCTCTGGCCTCAGGTGTTCCTGCTAAGGGAAGTGTTGATCCTTAACCCTGTTTGCACGCCTCAAGGTAATAGTGGCTTCCTGAGCCGGGGAAGTTTCTCTAACCCTGGTTTTAATCCAAACCTATAAGATTTTAGCCGTGTGCTTTTTTTTTACCACACTGAGAAGAAGTTCATGATAGCTGCAGTACAAGGAGCTTAACAGAAGTGGTGGATTAGGTTAAATTTCAGGTAATTAGCAATAAAGGGGAGAGGAAAAGGAGGCTGCAGAAGTCCCTCATTCCCCAGACCAAGCTTCACACAGTTGGACTGTACATGGACCAGACTGGACAAACTGGCTTTTTTCCCAAAGCTTTGTTTTTTTTTGGGGGGGGGGGGGGGAGGGGGAACTGTACTTTATCTTCCCTGAGGAAGTTGTACAGGGGAAAATCCCTGGGAACTGAGCCTCGAGCTGTCATTGTAGCACCTGCTTTAGTTCTGCCCTTCCCAACAATGCACACCTTCAAGAGCTCCTGGCAGAATATCCAGTGGGGAATGGAGGGAAAATGGGATGGATTCCTTCCCGGCTCTGGGGGTAGTGTGTGGCAAAGCTGCCCCTGTGCTGCCCGAGCACGGACAGAAAGAGCCACGTCTGCTCAAGGTACCTGAATTTAAATTAACTGACACTGTGCCCAATCCCAGGGACGTCTGGCGGCGGAGCAGTCCCCTCCCAGGGGTGGGTTCGGGCTCCTGCGGGGCTCACACAAACCTGAGGCTGCTGCCGCTCTTGGGGTGGCACCGGCGGCTGGGCACGGGCACGTGCTGCTGGCTGGCGAGGGAGGAGCCGGTGCTGGTTCCGCTGCTGGTCCCGCTGCTGGTCCCGGTGCTGGTCCCGCTGCGGGTCCCGCTGCTGGTCCCGCTGCGGGTCCCGCTGCTGGTCCCAGTGCTGGTCCCGCTGCTGGTCCCGCTGCTGGTCCCAGTGCTGGTCCCGCTGCTGGTCCCGCTGCGGGTGCCGGTGCTGGTCCCGCTGTGGGTGCCAGTGCTGGTCCCGCTGCTGGTCCCGCTGCGGGTGCCGGTGCCCCGTGGGCACGTGCAGGGTGCCCGAGTCAGGGCGAGCTGAAGCTGGCAGGGGCTGTGTCCCTGGGGCTCACACAGATCCTGCTCCGAAACAGATCTGTTTCCCAGTTTCAGATCCCTCTGCTCTAGTAGGAATTAACAACCCTTCAGTGGCTTTAAAGGAAAAAAAAAGCATATCCATTAGGTAAAAGCCAGTCCTCCAGTGCAATTGTTAGTGGCTTTCAGTATATCAAACTCCACAGCTAAATTATTAGAGAATGGTACAATTAAGGGTTCCAATTTATTGCTATAGCACATAATTCCCATGTATTCACACAGTAACAATGTAACATTTATGTAAATAAAAATACCTTTATTGTATTGATTCATAAAATAACAATTTCTTTAATTTGTTTACAGTCCTGGAAAAACTATGAACACAAACTTCATATGCAAATAGTTTGCCAAAACAAGAGGAAAACTTAGAATTAGCAGTCATGGAATAAACAGGATAGAAAGATGAACTGGTGCAATTAACACCTCACTCGGGTGGTGCAGGCGCCAGGGCAGGAACGTGGTCACTGGTGACACAGAGTTGGGGTCTAAGCAGGGCCATGAGGCTGAGCTGGGCTCAGGGACAGGGCAGGGGCTCAAGCCTTAGGTTTGGGATCCCCAGGGTAGAAGAAACCATTGTCATCTCACAACTCAAATTGTGAGGAGGAGCCACCCCTGTTGTCACTGGGGTTTGCACTGGGTTGTGCCCAGTCAGGCTGGTTCCAGCCCTTCCCATTTTGCTGCGGATGAGGAATTGTAGAAGCCTGAGGATTTGTATGTAGGAGGAAAACAATCTCTTGTAAAGGTGGTGTGCTGTTTTCAGTTGTTTCTCATATGAGCAGGTCTCCTGGAAACAGGAACAGTCATTCCAGAGGAACTACCCGACTGATTTTGTTTGGGCAGAGAGCAAGCCCTTCACTGTTCTGCCTTGTCCATGTCAGAAGTGACCCTCCATCAGAACTGCTGTGTTCCTGCAGCACAGAGATGTGGGAGCGGAGGGGACAGGGATGAACATCACCTTCCCTGTGAGAACTACTCCAGGCTCTCAGTCCCAGCTGAAAAAAAAATGGTTTCTTCATAAAGTCAGTGAACAAAACTGAATTTCCTCTTTCCTGGAAGGAATCGGTTGGAGTTTTCCCTGTATGAGAGGTTTGGTGAGAGGGCCTGGACTCTGGCAGGGCAGAGGTATCAGACACCTGTGTCAGGTAATGTGTGAATTGAGGTGTAAGGACTGCTGATGGACAAGGTTTAATTTGGGATCGTGTGTGCCCTGATAGACAGGAATGTTGTTTCCTAGTACTGGTGCTTGGGAAGCTTGTGCTTGGCTCCCAGGGAACCATGGCCTTTGTGTAATGATTAAAATCCCATCAGTAATTAGTTGTTGAGTGCCTTACTGTCACTACATCGCTCTCCTGCTCCCTCCAGCAGCCGCTGCTGGGATTTGCCTCTTTTTCTTTCTCACATCCTTGTTCCTTTGTTCTTTCCCTGTTTGAGCACTCTCCATCCCATTCCAGCCTGGGAGCTCTGCGCCCATCCCGGGCTGCTCCATCCTTTCTCCGCCTTCTGCTCTGCTCTCTGGTGACCAGCAAGTTGTTGCTGGTGACAGTGTGGGTGTGAGCCCTGACCTGACCTGCAGGAGCCCCATCCCAGGGTCCCCAGTGCCGCTGTGCTCCGGGCAGCCTGCTGGCAGTGGCTGCTGCTCCAGGCTCTGCTGCAGCGCTGGAGCTGTAGCCCCAGAGTCCCTGTGCTCTGACATGAAAACTTAAAATTCAGAAAAATCCCATTGGAACACGTGGACCACGTAACACCCTCCCGGGGAGCGTGTGTGACCCCCTGGCTCAGAGCCCGTTCCCTGCCCCACACTGACCACAGCTCAGTACTGTAAAGACAATTAACATTCTGTTTGTGTTTGTACTTTCCCTGACTTAAAGATAACTCAGTAGTATTTGAATAGTGCATAACCTACCTGTAATGATGCCGATGTTTCTGCTTTACCATGCATGAGGTTTCCCAGGACAGGGAACATTTCACTGAGTCTCGTGGGCTGAGCCCCCGGTGCGTGCCGGGGCTGGCTCTGGCCCGGGTTGTAGGTTTTAGGGCTTTTTCTGTTTCATTCTAAGGTTAATTTTTTCCGAAGTCACAAAGCACGTCCTATTGTTATGCAACAAACCACAGACAGTCACTCAGAGTGTTGGTCCCACCTTTTTTTTTTATGCAGTATATTCACCTGTAAATAGTTTTTGTGTAAAATTTGACAGAAAAGTATATTTACTACACTGTAAATACATGTGACAATATATTGTATTATTTTGCTTTTTTTGTAAAGCAGTTAGTTGCTGTATATGTATAACATACAAATTTGATTATTCTAGTGTTAGTAACTGTTAACTACCCCTCCCTCCTGCTGGTGCATTCCATCATTTAAAGCAGAAGCTGTGTCCGACACGCTCACCCTGTGTATGATCTCACTGCTTCCATCCGGCCTCGGCTGCCCCAGGGTTTCTGTGATCCCGGTCCTGGTCGTGCTGTCAAACACGGGTGTGAGCCTGGAGAGCCGCTGGCCCCAGCCACAGGCCGCTGGGAGCTGTGGGTCAGAGTGGTGGAAACCTGGTTTCAGATAATTATTGTTCACCCCGTTCTCCCCTCATGTATGTACTTCCCCCTTTTTTTTTGAAGTAAAATGTAAATTGAACCTGCTCCCAGTTGTTCGAAGGTCATTCCGGGGGCTGCAGGGTGAAGTATTGGTGGTGGCTGATGTCCTCTCTCTGTTGGAACAAGTTTGGGTGGGTTCTTTGGGGCTGAACCAAGGGATCCAGCTGAGTTACAGAGCCCAACACACCACTTTTTCTGGGGAAAATTAAGATTCCAGTTAAAATCCAGTGTCTGGGGTTTGTCTTCCCAGACTGGTGCTGCTCTGGGTGTGGGATCCTGCATAGAGCTGAGATTGCCTGTGGTGACTGAGGAAGAAGAAAGCCCATTGTCATGATTTTCATGTCACTTCAATAAGATTATCATAACTGAATAATAAATCAGAATATTTCTTTTTAAAATGTAAATTTAATATTGTAATAAAACAGCTGCTTGGTCTTTAAAGAACAATTCAGTATAATTTGTCTATTTGAGCTTTTTTTGCCTAGAAGCTTGAGGTTTCAGCTGTCAGGCAACTTCTCTGACAAATGATTAATCACATCTATTTTTCTTTTAGGGGGATACATTACTTCCCCATTAAAAGTGTATAAGTACTTATATTCTGACTTTGTGAATCGTAAAAGGATGTAAAGACACATTAAAGTGTGACTGCATTGACTTCTTCTGAGACATCTCATTGTTCCTGCACGCTGAACAGACCTGCAGACACCTGGACAGGTGATTCCTGTTGTGCTCTTGGTGCCAGCTGGGGCTGCACGAGTGGAAGAGCAGCAGTGTGTGAACTGTTAAACTTCATTTTCTTTACTTCAGAGGAAATGTTCCTTAGTTCTGAGTTGGAGCTGGAGTGGGATCCAGGCAGGAGCCAGCTCCTGAGCAGCACCTGCTCAATCACTGCTGTCAAAAACATCCCTGAAGTTCCTTTTTTGAACAGTGGAGCCTCCCTGCTACTTGAGATCACGAATACACTGCAGCCACAGGGAAGGAATGAAAGGAGAGTTTTATTTTAGTTACAGATGCAGTTGGAAAAACTGTATTTAGGGGGAAAATTGCACTGTTGGAGCAGGCAATTCGGTCTAAGGAAATAGCTTCAAAATTCCTACCCAGCTGATGTTGAAATATTTTACTAAGGAAAATAATGAAGTAAAAATGCAGAACTTACTTGAACTTGGGGAATGAATTCTGTTCTGGAGCTAAAAACTGCACAAGGTGGAAAAGAAAATAGTTCATGGCTGAGCCCAGGATGGCTCAGAGCTGTTGGTGAAGGTGCCCCAGGCACTGTCCCAGGTGAGATACCTGTTCCCTTAGGTCCTCTCATAGCACTTGGTCAGTTATGCCATTACCAAATGTGTCTAACGTGTCTGTGCTCCCCTTAGGCCCTCTGAGGACAGGGGACAGAACACCTGAACTCAGCTCTAAGGTGAGGATGAGCCACCTGCGTCACAGAACTGCCAAAGCCAACCTCCTGCAGCTGTGCAGCGCTGGGGCCCCTGGAGCAGGGAGTGCCTGTCCCACTACCTGAGCTGGGATGTTCAGGTGTGAATCCTTTGTGCCTTGCAACAGGGGCTCTTCAGCTGGCTGCTCCTCTGGTTAACAAGCTCTCAAATGAAAATCACTCCCAGGATTGTGTGGGTGGAAAGGGTACAAAAACAACTCTCATGATGTGACTTGTTCAAGTAAGTATGGGTTTGTTCTTCAAAGGAATAATGAAAAAAACCTCTGACGATGGGATCTTTTGGGATGTTTAAATAACAGTGCTATAAATAGCCAGGAGTAACTATATGCTCAAGAAAATCCCCCTTGAACTATTAAATAGTATTTTTTTTTTCCTCATAGCATACTGTCCTTCAGACAAACTGGAAATATCTGTTCTGCTGCTTCCACCCCCAGTTAGGTACTGGGAGAGCAAGGTCTGCCCAGGAGAGCTGGCTATGCAGCAAGACAGTGCAAATGCTGAAGAGCTGCTCATGCAGCCCTCCTCCTCCTCCTCCTCAGGCTGTGAGGACACGGGGGAAGGAAACCACAAGAGGTTTCAGCATGTGGTCCCCAAGTGTGTCTGATACCAGCTCTGATTGTGACCTTGACAAATCCCTGAACGTTTGACCACCAGGCACTGTAAATGCTGGAATTGCCCAACGCTAACAGCCGAGGGTGGCCGTTGGTTGGGAATTCTTAACGGACAAACTTCTGAGATCCTCAGATTAGGGACATCAAAAGGGCAAAGTCTCAACACCAATGGATTTTTCCACTTCATGTGTGACACAATTTGTAGTTTTTAAGTGGGTATTTAGTATTAATTCCTGACTGCTCTGAACAAAAAGGTAGAGGCAAATCAGGAACTTTTCACAGAAAAATACTTACAGAAATCAGTGATTTATGAAGGACAATCCTGCTCATGACTGTGGTTTCTCCAAGTTACTCATTTACACTCTCATATACCAACCGCCTGCTGCAGGCACGTGTCTGCAGCAACGGGCAGGTTTGACTTCAGCCAGCCTGGCCAGCCCAGCACTGAACTCCCCCGTGCCTGCAGGTTTGTGCAGCCTTGGCTGGTGCACAGCGTGCTGCTCGCAGCCAGGTGAGCTCTGGGAGCAGCAGCGGCTCTGCAGGATGAGCCCAGGGTGCTGAGAAGGGAGGAGGCTGACTGGGGTGGCTGCCAGATGAAGAGGAAGCTCAGGCTTCAAGCTGGAAGGAGGCTTGAAGTACTTTCCTGCGCTGCTGCAGCCACCGCTGGCTACCCCTGTAGGGCAGGAAGGCGGCAGGTCCGGACCCTGCCCGGACCTCGGCCGCGGGAACGATCCGGGCCGGGCCCGCCCCGCACCGGCCCCGGAGCGCTCCCGGCCCCAGACCGATCTATCCCGGCCCCAGAACTATCTACCCCGGTCCCGGAGCTCTCCCGGCCCCAGAACGATCTACCCCGGCCCCGGAACGATCTATCCCGGCCCCAGACCGATCTACCCCGGCCCCGGAACGATCTATCCCGGCCCCAGAACGATCTACCCCGGCCCCGCAGCGCTCCCGGCCCCAGAACGATCTATCCCGGCCCTAGAATGATCTATCCCGGCCCCAGACCGATCTACCCCGGCCCCGGAGCGCTCCCGGCCCCGGAACGATCTATCCCGGCCCTAGAATGATCTACCCCGGCCCCGCAGCGCTCCCGGCCCGCCGCGGCTCCTGAGGGCGCGGGGCGGGGCCGCGCGCGCGCGGATCTCGCGGGGCCGCGCGCTCTCGCGAGAGGGGCGGGCGGGGCGCTGCCGCTGCATGTCCGAGCCGGGCGGCCCGGCCGGGGCACGTGTGGCGGCACCGGCACCGCTCCGGACCGGGCCCGGCACCGCTCCGGGCCGCGCCGCCGCGCCGGGACTCCCGTAAGTACCGCCCTGGCCGCCGCCCGCGCGCTGGCGCAGCGGCGGGGCCCGCGGCTGGCGGCGGCGGCGCTGAGGGCGCGCTGAGGGCGCGCTGAGGGCGCTCCCCGGCCGTGCCGGGCCCAGTCCCGGTCCCGCCGCGCGGGCCGAGGCGGGAGCGCTCCCGTGCCGCCCAAGGTCAGTGCTCTGCCCCGCCGGCGGGGGCTGGGGCCGGCCGCGTGTGTCGGGACGCGGGGCCGCCCCGGGCCCTGCTCGCGGCTCGGTGCCCCGCTCGGTGCTCCGCTCGCGGTGTCCCGGGCGGCGGCCGGGCCGGGCCGGGCCGGGTCGGTTCGCCCGTTCTGACGGGAGCGCCGCGGCCGCGGCTGCTGGAGCGAGGCCGGAGATGGCCCGGGCGGTGCGGAGCCGCGGTGAAGATTAAAGCACCTTGGGCTGTCTGGTCTGGCGAGCCCTGCCTGTGTTATGGTAATGGCCGTAAAAAGTGCTATTTGCAAAACTTCTGATGTGCTGTAGTGACTCCTTTTGTTCGTAAGCCAGCATGGAGTACAGGTGGGAGCAATGGGATTAAATTATATTGCTGCTGAGGAAGTGATGTCGTAGTCTTGCTTTCCTGGGAGAATATTGTTGTTTGCTCTCTCTTTTTCTTTTCCCCCCTGATTGAAGCAAGGCAGATCTAAGCTCCTACTTCAGAAATGGGCAACTTGATCTGTGCCTGGCCGAGTTCTTTACTGCAGTCCAGTAATTCCATGAGGCAATGACCACAGAATGGACAGGCATCTCAGCAAAGGCATTCTCTTCATGGATGTTATCCATAATAGCAGGAAATGGCACCAAAAGCTGCATTTGGCTACAGCCCATCTGCTGGGAAAAGTCAGGGGCTGTGGGATGGCAGAAATCGGGCCTTGCTGTGTTCCAGGGTTGTGCTGCACCTGCCTAGCGTTATCGGGCCCTGTGGACTTTGTCTCAGGTGCAGGGAAGTGCTGGTTGCTGCCGAAGGTGTAGCGCTGGGGTAGCTTTGCTGGTGCTGTGAATGATCTACCGAGCACAGCCCCGGTGCGAGCGGAGCGCCGGGCAGAGCACGTGCGGGGTGGGAGTGCAGCGCGGCTCCCGAGCTGGCTCCTCTGCTGCGATCACTGTGACCCAGGTCTGGTCATTTAACCTCCTCATTCGTTAATGAGCTGCTTGTGTAAGGGGTGAAGGACTGTGCAGGCACCTGCGGACCTGCTGTACCTGTCTAGTGATGCCCATGGACCTGAGATTCTGGAAAAGGGCAGCAGAGCCTCGTTGTGTGTATCTCATTCTCCATTCCCTGGTGTGCCTGCATATGCTGCACAGTCCAAATGCACTGGAGGAAATGACAGCTCTCAAGTAACTGAGGAGGGAGAAGCCTGTGGAGCTTGAGCAGTGCTTGAAGTAGGATGGAATCCACTGGAATCCATTCATGCATCGATTCCTGTCCTGGTCTTTCTCACCTGACAGTCTTCAGCTCCTGCTTAAGTGTCTCATTGAGCTCTTGAAGGACTTTTAAAAGCTCTCATGGGGGTGTGTGCAGGTCAGTCTTTCAGCACAGTTGTAGCAGTGTCTTCTACAACAGGCTGTTTGCTCTCAGACATGAAACTAAAGATATGTTGGGGCTGTGGGGTTTGTGTGGATGGCACTGCAGGATCTCAGTTGTTGTGTGTTAGTAGCTGTTCTGTACTTGGGAGTGCTCTCCTTATTCAGCCTTGGTTTAGAAACCCATCCTAGGAACCAGATTCTGTCTTAAAGAATGCTGGAGATGCTTTGAGATACTAATACTGGAAATTATGGACTGCCTAGGAAGCCTTGGCATTAACCTAGACACTCCACAATGCCTGAAATGTGGGAAGAGGAATTTCCTCACTGCCCAGGGTGTGAGGTGGCAGGACCTGCAGCTCAGATCACCACATTTTGTCTGTTCCCAAAGGTGCAGATTGCCTGTGGAGTTAAAAGTGACGGGAGTTTGCTGCAGGAGTGCAGCCAAAGCTCTCAGAGCCAGCAGCAGTTTGATTTGTGATGGCTGAGACTCTCTCTTCACTTTGAAAACATTGCAGGCTGGCTGCAGGGGGATGGAGAGCAAGTGCACTTCTGCAGGAGCAGTTATCTGAAGAGCATAATGCTTTTAAAGCAGCATAGCCCACTTATCTGTGCCTCTCCTTGTTCATGTGCACTTAACTCATGTGAAAAAATGATTTGAGGTATTTCTAGCGTCCAGGGAGCCTGTAATAGGATTGGGGCTGGTATCCCAGTTGCCCCTAGCAACATCTAGAGCTAATAAAAAACATTAATTGCAGCATTAATTACTTATAATTGTTTCATGTTTCAGATCTAATGATTAGCCTTTTTAGAATCCTGATTTCTAACTGCAGTGCTTCTGTGGAGCTCTTAATGCAAATGGCTGGTTAGACTTCACGAAGTGATAATCAACTTCAGGCAGCCATGCTCAGATATTCAGAAAAAGCTATTTTATTCATCAGGTGTTTAATATTTCCTGGAAATTCAAGCTGTTGCATTTGTTTCTCATGGGGATTGCTAGAAGGGGAGATATTTGCATGTCCCAAACTGCTTTTTCAAATGTTGTCTTCAGGTGGTTCCCTGTACATTTTTTTTATTGTCCACTATGTGGATTCTGGTCCTGCATTTTGTCAGCTGGAAGCTAACTGGATTTTTGGGCCCTGTATATTGCTACTAGCAGAGATGAATATTTCATAAAAGACCATTTTAAATCATTCTTAAGCAAACAAATCACTGCTGCAGACCGGGCCTGGTTGGGGTTGCTTTTGACCTCTGCTGCCACCTGGCACTGAGGATGAGAAACTTGCCATGTGCTGTGGCTGGTTTTTGACTCTGGGTATAAATAGCAGCGGTTCCTGGCAAAAGTTCACGATTTTCATGTGCCTCTGGTATCAGAGGCCTTAGCTTTGCTTGGGGATGAACCTGGGAATTGGGAACTCTCTCTGGTCAGGTTGGAGTGTGTGTGCCACTCCTCACAGCCCTTGTTGGCGCACACAAGTGTCTTCATGCTCATTCCCATGAGTGCCTCTCAGTGAAGCCTTTGCTGTTCCCTCCCAGCACAGGTGAGTACAGGGCATCCTCCTCACTGATTTTTGCTGTCCTCCCTCTCTGAGTGCTTCTGCCATTTCTCCTCAAACTGAGCCTTGGCCACAAGGCCAAGACTCCAGTACTTTTTGCTTTTCCTAAGCCTAGTCCAGCTCTTGTTTTGGGAAGCTGTTTGTCAAGGTCTTGTGGCTGTGCCCAGCAAACATCCCGCGAGCGGAGCTGCTGCTGCTCCCCAGATACCTGGGGACCTGTTTGGTCTTTGCTGCTCCTGGCTCCTGCAGCCCTATCAGTGTGTTTGCTGTAAACCTCCCCATTCTGTCTCCTTGAAAATTCAAGCTTGTTTTTTGTCTCCTGTGCAGAGTGCATTGGAAGCCCTTGGTTAGTTTAGTCTCTGTTTTTTGGAAACTGATAGAGATGCCAGGCATCTGACTCAGGTGGCTGCTTTTAAATTTTCATTTATAAGCTGTACATGTAGTGGCCACTACGCTGTGTTACCCATAGCGAGGGCTGCTTTGGCTTCCTTATGTAGAAGCAAACACAAAAGGCTGATTATTGGATGTGTTTATTCAAAACTCTGAAAAATAACTTGTTCCATTCTCTAACGTGAGTGAAAATGCAGAGAGAGAATGAAAGATAAAGCTTTTCCCAAATCCAGACTTTTGTAATGTGTCGATAATACAGGTAAAGCAGCTGTTATCTTTATAACCTGTGGGGGTCAGATAAAGTGCTGCAGAAGCGGTTTTTGAAGCTTGCTGAAGTGTCTGAAAGACTTTTCTGAGAAAGTGAAGAAAAAGCTCTCTTGTCTCCCTCTGCAGTAGAGGATTCACAGGGAGACACTAACTTGGGTGAGGAAACTATAAATAATGAAACAACTGGAGCAGGGAGGTAACGAGATATCAAGAGCAGTACTGAGCTTGATAACCTGATAGGGTTAATGTTAATTACAAACTGTTCATTCCTGCAGAGCAGGAGCACTCAAGGCCGTGCCTGAGTCCATGAGATCAGTGCTGAGGGTTGCTGGGGGTCGATGTTTGTGTCCCTGTGAACTTCTCAGTAATTTCCAAAACATCTATTAAAAAACCCTACAGGTTGGCCAAGCTGATGCTTTTATTGTGTGAAAATAAACAGGAACGGTTCTGAGTCCTGCATTGGTCCAAAGGCTGCTGTGGGAGCTGTGCTGGGCCAGGGTTGGGCTGCTGAGTGGGAGAAAACACGCAGAACCAACAATCAGTGTGGCAGCTCCAGCTGCGAGGGGGGACTGAGCTCTTGTAGGAACAGCACTGATGCTGATTACACTGAAAGCAGTTTTTATCTCGGAGATAAAAGACAGCCTGGTGTTAATGGTGTTTCTTGTTCCAGAGCACTAGTTTAATTCTACATCAACCAGCTTTTTTAGCCTTTTACTGAAGTCACAATTTATCCTTTTGCAAATAGGAGACTGCTGGTTCTTAAATATTCTAAGGCTGTGGAGTGGCTTCACTGGTGGTTTTCATTCAGAGAGGAGCCTGTTTCTTGGGCTCATAGCCTATGTTTACTGGGCTGTGAAAAGGTGGTGTTGCTTAAGGGGTATCTCTTGCTGTTCTAGTCTTTCAGTGCTACTGTTTGAAGCAGAAATTGCTGCAGAGCACTTGCCTTTAATTAGTTAAGTACAGAGAGACTTCCCTGTTGGCTTCTTTTAAAAGAAGTGCCACCCAGTTTGAGATCTTGCTGGCCTGGCTCCTACCTGTCTCTGGGTGTTTGT